CTGCATATATTTGTCTAATGCCATCTGGTTGGAATGCAGTGTGCAGAAGCATAGAAAATACTTCCAGATAAGGGTCTTATGGAGCATTTTTTTTGGGGGCTATGTCAGTTCAATTTTGATAGCTCAAAGCTTTGGTGATGTATAAATAGAGTGTCATCCTTGAAATCATACAAGGATGACACTTCCAAAGCCAGGATGCATGCCCATTACATTGAATTTCTTAGAATCGTTGTTTTGTGCATTTTGCATACTGCTGTATTGCCTGCTAAAATTTTGGCACTTTTAGTCAACTTTTGCTTTAACTGCTTATAACAAATGGACTCCAGACTTTATGCTTTTCATTTGACCATGTAATGTACATCTTTATCAAATGGCTTTGCCCGGGAGAAAATTGCTTGGGAGGAAACTTCTGACTGTTGTTTGTAAATTACAGTTTGTCTGGGATTGCTTTGACATTTATGCCTGCAGATGCATCAAGGCTTACTTTGTAGACTGTTTCATCATCTCCAACTACATCGGTAAGGGTTCTGTTCTTTTTCTGCTTGCTTTTATGCTGATTTTGAAAAATAGCTATTGATGGATGATTGACATCATGTATAGAATTAATGCTTGAATGCAATGGAGCATATTAAACCTTCTGGCAAAACATTGGAAAAGGTTATGATTGTTGAGTTGTCAATACCTTGGTGAAAAACAGTGTAGACATCAGATTAGAGTTTCTTAAATGTATTATTCGGATTTTCTTAAACGATTTCAGCTTTTAGAACAGTGGAAGTTGAAACTATAGATCTGAACTTCTGAAGCTTCTGAAGTTATAAATTCGAGAAAACTTTTAGGGCATGTTTGGTTGCCCAAGACCTTAGAAATAATCTACAGGGAAGTTGTGAGCTGTTGAGCAATTGCTTGCACTTGGAATAAATTTTTTTTCAGAATTAAAGGCATATAATCACTTATATTCAAAGGTACAAATCAATTATATACTTTGTAAAGTGCTTTCTAAAAAAATATCTCAGAAGATTTGGTTTTGGGATATATTATTGCTTAACAAAAAAAAAGGAATTAATTATATCACATAAATGCTCATATAATCAAAATTATGTCAACAATATAACCAATTATATTGTAATTTTGGGATTTGTGTTAGGAAAGTGAAAATCCTGATCGTAGTTGGCTGGCTCTCCAATGTGGGTTTCTTGAGATATTCTTTCTGGGTTTTTTAGTAACCAAACAGGCCTTAGCCTCCAGTGCAACGGGCATTCCCTTGATTTTATCGAACTCATGCATTAACGAGGAGAAGAAATGGTTATATCCAACGTGCATTCCCATGTTTGTTCCTTGTTCAGCTTGCAGCATCTTCATTGCTATGATTTCTCATATTTATCATGGGGTTCATAGGAGATTTATGGAAATTTGCAAAATTTGTGCCTTCAATTTACTGTTGGAGAAGAAAATCCCTTCCTTTGAACATCTACGACAAGACCAAAGAAAATAGATCAAAGAAAAAAAAAAAAACGTTGCCTTGACTCTCTCGAGAAAGTTCCCATTACCAAGCCCCAGAAGAAAAAGAAACAAAGAAACCACCTACGTGTAAATCTGCTACCATTTTCCTCCGAAACATACAGATCTGCTTCCATTTTCCCCAGAAACAAACGAGCGGAATGGTTCCATCAAAACAAAGAAACACAAGGAAAATAGCAAGTTGCTAACCGCCAAAGGTTGATCTACCTTCACCGTCTGCGGTCAGAGAGGAAATACTACAGATAGAAAGTAAACTCTTTTGGGTCTCTCTAAATCTGAAATTTAAAGAATAAAGACCTGTATTTCTTTTGGGCTTGAACCAGGTCTCATGTCCGCAGTGGGCTTTATCCACTTCAAATATGAAAAATTAAAAAATAAATTCCGTTGCCGGGAATCGAACCCGGGTCTCCTGGGTGAAAGCCAGACATCCTAACCGCTGGACGACAACGGATCTTAGACACCTACGTTATTTATCAAGCTATTATATTAAACATCACGTCAAAACAACATTTCCCATTAGTTGCTCACAGAAACGTAATCAGGGAGGAAAATTTCTGAGATAAACTACCATCCTCGCATCATGGGCACCATCCAATTAATATTTTTTAGAACCATAAGCACAATCCTATCCTGAGAACCTACTACTTGCAGAAGATGAAGAAAGCACTCTCTCCTGCTTTCTTGAGAGAGTAGTAAACAGCTTAAAGGACAGTTTGAAACCTTTTTTTTTTTTTTTTTTGAACAATTTGTAATTATGTATAAGGTTAATTAAGGAAGGGAAAAATGGATTTCGTGGAGCTCAAACGTGCAACTCATTGGAGGTGAACAGCCCTAACCCAGGATCCAGGATCCAATGCCACTGGACCAGAGCGGGCCGTTCAGTTTGAAACTTTTTTTATTTCTTGTATGTCGGATAAAGAGTTATATATTACGAGGGATAGTTTTCTTATTTTAAATTTTTAATCTATCTTAAATTTAAATTTTAGATTTTAATATGAAAATTCAAGTTTTTTTATTATTATTCTCTTTATTTAAAAAGAATTATTATTTTTTATTTTAAATTTATCTTAAATTAATTTTTTTTTCATTTTCAAAGTATATAAATATTTTTTTTGATTTTAACCTTATTATTATCTATTTATTTTAATTAATTATTTAATTATAAATTTTTTTAAAAGTATTATAAATAAATATAAATATTATTTTTAAATTTTTAATTAAAAAAAATATAATTAGTTTAAAACATAGGTAGTAATACTTCCTCTAGGAGACAGTTTGAAACTCTTACATTAAAAATGTCGGTTTGAATTTTGAAACCCATGTAAATAGTAGTAATGA